TTCTTCATTAAATAGCGACACTTCACCATTTTTGTACTTTTGTACCCAACAACGCCAGTTTATTATTATTATTATTATTTTAACTTTAACGTACACGTATACTCTCTATAGAGAGTAAGACATTTTTTTGCCGGTCTAACTTCGTACAAACAATAATGAATGAATAATATGGATAAGGATCAAGATGAATGAAATGACAATTATGAATCTTGCTTTTGTTTATACCCAAACTCTGAATAGATGAGTGAGTGCTTGGAAGACAGTTCCTGATAAGGGTCGGTCTGTAATTGTCCCAGTGCTCTGGAACAGTCTGGAATAAAGTGAAATTGGCGGATGGCTGTATTTTAAAGGAAACTACAGTTGCCCGCAAGTTCGCAGAACGCAAATTGCAAATTACTCCTTAGCGGCAACGTATTTATTCTCGTCTAAATGGGAAGCTATTCCTGAATTGTAAACAACATGTAAGAGGAAGTTCCTCCAAGGAATGAATAGGCTGGTTCGTGTCCTGAACTTTTTTCTTTGTGTGCCTCTTGTAAGTTTTGGCGTTTCTCATAATTTCGGTGCTTTGTTTAAGAAAGTTCACGTGTAAATGTTGCCGTTTTCTCGAGTAAACCCCAGCTTAGAAAGGTTCCGTTCTAATGTTTATTGTTCCTGCTACCATCTGATAATCTTACTAGGGGATTGCCCAAGGCTGCTCACGTTATCGCAGCATGGAGCATTTCATGTAGAGGTAGCCCATAATATACAGGGTGTTCCTTAAAGGTATGCGAATATTTAAGGGTGTGAATCGATATGAAAAATTAATGTTAGCTTGATTTATAAACTATGGTCCAAAAATGTTTCCTTACAAAAACTCGGGGTGTTGAAGTTTTTAAGAAATCTATGATAAATGTGTCTGATAAACGAAAAAATTAGACAACTCGTCCCTACAACCCCCACCCCTAAAATATTTTAGACCATTTATTTTTTTTTCAAAAATGATCACGATCCTCTAAAACGTCAAAATACGAAGTGAGAGGGGTTCTTATTTTTTTTCGTTTTTGGCCTTATGTAGAACTTAGTCGTGAAAGATCTGTAGACGTTATTCGGATTGAAGAACTTGATTGGTCTAAGTTAACAGGAAAGACCATATGCTTTAAATGTAATGATTAGATTATGAAATGATCCGTAAGACATTTCAATACCATATGTCCACAAAAAACTTCCAGATACTGTAGCACACCATAGACGCTGCATAATCACACATATTTCATTGCTAGTTGTATCACCAATTCTTCCCTATACTACGTAGGTGATCCAGCCTCGGAAAAGTAAAACAAAATTTATCGTTTACGTAAATACCTAAAGAAGTTAAGATATTGGTTTTGATAATGCGGCAAGCTGTTCGAACTTCCTAGTAGGTATATATACGATCCTCTACTTTCATGGGAATGCGTTACTTTCGAACAATTTAAAACAAGTTTTTTATTACGCATTTTCTAAAAGGCGCCTGTTAGGCCGAGAATATAGTGGCCCACGCGTGGCCGAGGTTATGTGCATAATGTACGTACGGCCGAAGAGATAACCACAGTTCCGTAAAACTATTTCTATATAGATCTTCTATACCGAAACTGTCTCGAAGGCAGAACCTGAATGTCGAAGTAACGCGACTGCTGTAAGTTGCAGTTGACTGCCCAATACTCATAAGATGTAGAATTTAATAGATGAAAATATAAGGATAACATTTTATTTACAGGTATAGAAGGCTGCCGAAGAACTAGTAGCAGTAACAAATTCGGGAATGAGAGTAGCCCGCTGATTGGCAGTTTGCATTTGATGCTGTCACAGTGTGGCTACTTCTATGAACGAATTCTTACTCAACGATAACGTGCAAGATGAGCAGAAAGCTGTATTTTAGTTCCGCTTCCTTATTATAGATGGCGCCATCATAGCTTAGTATTTAGTAGGATACTTTTAAGAGTATTTTAAGGGTATTATGTTACAGGTTCTGACATTTGTCTACTTGAAAATGCACATAATTAGCTTAAAATCATCCAAGAAGGGTATACGGATGAATATATTTTTTTATTCGGCTACTCTCCAATAGATGGCGCTGCATATCGGTAGCTACCATAAGGTCCACCATTTTGAATGACTACCTTGAGCTGCTGAAATCCATTCAGTGATCCCTAAAGCAAGCAAGGAGGAGGACGCTTTGTTTTTCAACAAAGCCAAATCTAATACGTAATATTAGAATATAATAAACTAATCCAATCAAAAAATGGGGGGATTTTAACCCCCCTCACGGAAATTTAAGATCCTTGATCATTGAAGATTCGTTGCCATATACCCATCCCGAACCCCGACCAACCACCCCTAAAGGATCTTTTTGACTAGTTAAATTTTATGAGGTCTGTGGTAGCACTTTGCAAAGAAGCGCCATCTATCGGATGGTAGCCCAACTGAACGAACTTTTTTGGTGGCGGCTACTATCCAATAGATGGCGCTGCATGTCGGTAGCTACCATAAGGTCCACCATTTTGAATGACTACCTGGAGCTGCTGAAATCCGTTCAGTGATCCCCAAAGCAAGCAAGGAGGAGGACGCTTTGTTTTTCAACAAAGCCAAATCTAATACGTAATATTAGAATATAATAAACAAATCTTAAACATATTTTCATCAAAAATGGGGGGATTTTAACCCCCCTCACGGAAATTTAAGATCCTTGATCATTGAAGATTCGTTGCCATATACCCATCCCGAACCCCGACCAACCTCCCCTAAAGGATCTTTTTGACTAGTTAAATTTTGTGAGGTCTGTGACAGCACTTTACAAAGAAGCGCCATCTATCGGACGGTAGCCCAACTAAACGAATTTTTTTGGTGGCTGCTACTATCCAATAGATGGCGCTGCATATCGGTAGCTACCATAAGGTCCACCATTTTGAATGACTACCTTGAGCTGCTGAAATCCATTCAGTGATCCCTAAAGCAAGCAAGGAGGAGGACGCTTTGTTTTTCAACAAAGCCAAATCTAATACGTAATATTAGAATATAATAAACTAATTCAATCAAAAAATGGGGGATTTTAACCCCCTTCACGAAAATTCAAGATCCTTGATCATTGAAGATTCGTTGCCATATACCCATCCCGAACCCCGACCAACCGCCCCTAAAGGATCTATTTGACTAGTTAAATTTTATGAGGTCTGTGGTAGCACTTTACAAAAAAGCGCCATCTATCGGATGGTAGCCCAACTGAACGAATTTTTTTTATTAGGCTACTCTCCAATAGATGGCGCTGCATATCGGTAGCTACCATAAGGTCCACCATTTTGAATGACTACCTTGAGCTGCTGAAATCCATTCAGTGATCCCTAAAGCAAGCAAGGAGGAGGACGCTTTGTTTTTCAACAAAGCCAAATCTAATACGTAATATTAGAATATAATAAACTAATCCAATCAAAAAATGGGGGGATTTTAACCCCCCTCACGGAAATTTAAGATCCTTGATCATTGAAGATTCGTTGCCATATACCCATCCCGAACCCCGACCAACCGCCCCTAAAGGATCTTTTTGACTAGTTAAATTTTGTGAGGTCTGTGATAGCACTTTACAAAGAAGCGCCATCTATCGGATGGTAGCCCAACTGAACGAACTTTTTTGGTGGCGGCTACTATCCAATAGATGGCGCTGCATATCGGTAGCTACCATAAGGTCCACCATTTTGAATGACTACCTTGAGCTGCTGAAATCCGTTCAGTGATTCCCAAAGCAAGCAAGGAGGAGGACGCTTTGTTTTTCAACAAAGCCAAATCTAATACGTAATATTAGAATATAATAAACTAATCCAATCAAAAAATGGGGGGATTTTAACCCCCCTCACGGAAATTTAAGATCCTTGATCATTGAAGATTCGTTGCCATATACCCATCCCGAACCCCGACCAACCGCCCCTAAAGGATCTTTTTGACTAGTTAAATTTTGTGAGGTCTGTGATAGCACTTTACAAAGAAGCGCCATCTATCGGATGGTAGCCCAACTGAACGAACTTTTTTGGTGGCGGCTACTATCCAATAGATGGCGCTGCATATCGGTAGCTACCATAAGGTCCACCATTTTGAATGACTACCTTGAGCTGCTGAAATCCGTTCAGTGATTCCCAAAGCAAGCAAGGAGGAGGACGCTTTGTTTTTCAACAAAGCCAAATCTAATACGTAATATTAGAATATAATAAACTAATCCAATCAAAATAATCTTCTCCTCAAAAAGGGGCCTGTCCGACTGATCGATGACTCTTCTCTAACAGACAGTCTCGGGATCCTTTCACACCGGCGGCCGTCAGCGATCCAGCTCTCTTCTACCGCTACGCCAACGGGCTTTGCTCCTCAAAGCTTTCCTAAATGATGCTGCCGGTACTTTGTAATTAAAAATGATGTTCTACTTTTTAGTTTTGGCTATAAAAGCGTGTTTTTTTTTAGCTTTTTCGAACTATCATGTATTTTCCATTTTTTAGTTCGATTTATCAATTAGTTCTTTATGGACATGTCATGATATTGCATTGAAAATTATGCTCAAAGATTCCGTCACATATATAATTACAGACATACAGGTCAAGCTAATAAAAGCGTATTAAAAAATTAAAAAAAAAAAGGTATATCACATCTAGCTCCTGTGAGGATTGAACTCACGACCTCTGGCTTAAAAGACCGGTGCTTTGGCACTTGAGCTACAGAGGCCCTGTGATTCCAATATTCGTAACGCGGCATTTAAAATCCGTGGCTTTTTATTAACATATCTGCTTTTTACAGAATTTTTCTCGTAAGGATAATGAAAAATTGCTATCAAATGATTGCAATGTCATCGGTACTTCATACGTGTGCGAAGTTTAAAATTAATCAAACTTCTGGAAATAGGTGAAAATTATGCTCAAAGATTCCGTCACATATATAATTACAGACATACAGGCCAAGCTAATAAAAACGTATAAAAAATTTAAAAAAAAAAGGTATATCACATCTACCTCCTGGGAGGATTGAACTCACGACCTCTGGCTTAAACCGGTGCTTTGCCACTTGAGCTACAGAGGCCCTGTAATTACAATCTTCATAACACGGCATTTAAAATCCGTGGCTTTTTATTAACATATCTGCTTTTTACAGAATTTTTCTCGTAAGGATAATGAAAAACTGCTATCAAATGATTGCAATGTCATCGGTCCTTCATACGTGTGCGAAGTTTAAAATTAGGAAATAGGTGAAAATTATGCTCAGATTCCATCACATATATAATTACAGACATGCAGGTCAAGCTAATAAAAACGTATAAAAAAATTAAAAAAAAAGGTATATCACATTTGCCTCCTGTGAGGATTGAACTCACGACCTCTGGCTTAAAAGACCGGTGCTTTGCCACTTGAGCTACATAGGCCTTGTGATTCCAATATTCGTAACACGGCATTTAAAATCCGTGGCTTTTTATTAACATATCTGCTTTTTACAGAATTTTTCTCGTAAGGATAATGAAAAACTGCTATCAAATGATTGCAATGTCATCGGTCCTTCATACGTGTGCGAAGTTTAAAATTAATCAAACTTCTGGAAATAGGTGAAAATTATGCTCAGATTCCGTCACATATATAATTACAGACATGCAGGTCAAGCTAATAAAAACGTATAAAAAAATTAAAAAAAAAGGTATATCACATTTGCCTCCTGTGAGGATTGAACTCACGACCTCTGGCTTAAAAGACCGGTGCTTTGCCACTTGAGCTACATAGGCCCTGTGATTCCAATATTCGTAACACGGCATTTAAAATCCGTGGCTTTTTATTAACATATCTGCTTTTTACAGAATTTTTCTCGTAAGGATAATGAAAAACTGCTATCAAATGATTGCAATGTCATCGGTCCTTCATACGTGTGCGAAGTTTAAAATTAGGAAATAGGTGAAAATTATGCTCAGATTCCATCACATATATAATTACAGACATGCAGGTCAAGCTAATAAAAACGTATAAAAAAATTAAAAAAAAAGGTATATCACATTTGCCTCCTGTGAGGATTCAACTCACGACCTCTGGCTTAAAAGACCGGTGCTTTGCCACTTGAGCTACATAGGCCTTGTGATTCCAATATTCGTAACACGGCATTTAAAATCCGTGGCTTTTTATTAACATATCTGCTTTTTACAGAATTTTTCTCGTAAGGATAATGAAAAACTGCTATCAAATGATTGCAATGTCATCGGTCCTTCATACGTGTGCGAAGTTTAAAATTAATCAAACTTCTGGAAATAGGTGAAAATTATGCTCAGATTCCGTCACATATATAATTACAGACATGCAGGTCAAGCTAATAAAAACGTATAAAAAAATTAAAAAAAAAGGTATATCACATTTGCCTCCTGTGAGGATTGAACTCACGACCTCTGGCTTAAAAGACCGGTGCTTTGCCACTTGAGCTACATAGGCCCTGTGATTCCAATATTCGTAACACGGCATTTAAAATCCGTGGCTTTTTATTAACATATCTGCTTTTTACAGAATTTTTCTCGTAAGGATAATGAAAAACTGCTATCAAATGATTGCAATGTCATCGGTCCTTCATACGTGTGCGAAGTTTAAAATTAATCAAACTTCTGGAAATAGGTGAAAATTATGCTCAAAGATTCCGTCACATATATAATTACAGACATACAGGTCAAGCTAATAAATACGTATAAAAAAAATTAAAAAAAAAAGGTATATCACATCTGCCTCCTGTGAGGATTGAACTCACGACCTCTGGTTTAAAAGACCGGTGCTTTGCCACTTGAGCTACAGAGGCCCTGTGATTAGAATATTCGTAACGCGGCATTTAAACTCTGTGGCTTTTTATTAACATATCTGCTTTTTACAGAATTTTTCTCGTAAGGATAATGGAAAACTGCTATCAAATGATTGCATTGCCGTCGGTCCTTGATTCGTGTGCGAAGTTTCGAATTAATCAAACTTCCGGAAATTGATGAAAATTATGCTCAAAGATTCCGCTACATACAGCCGTGTTAAGAATTAAACGCTCTATGTAGTAAATGTCAATGTGACAACTTATCAAATCTGCAAGTCGTCGCTATTTGAACTTGTATCTGCATTAACTGCAATTTTTGAGGTAAGTATTCATACTTTTTATCAACTTAGTCATTTGAATTTGTCTTGAGGGATGACATAAAAGTAAATGATTGACATATTTTATTAATGTTTAGTAACTATCGTTCTATTTTGATGAAAGTTTAATAGTACACCAGGAGATTTAGAATTCAAAAGAAAAAATCTAACAACTCATTTTGTAAGATAATCATATTCTTGAGGGCAAATGAAAAGGCTCCTCATTGAAAAATACAGAAAAATGTATTAGTAAAATGTCAAATTTGCAAAAATCACTTTTTCGCATATTTACAAATAGTTATGAATCATTTGTGTAAGTTATCCAATAAGGTTGTATAGGACGAAATTACCTTTTAAATAAGACTTTATAAGACCAATTTGCTATCACAGCTAATTTGTTATTACAAGACAAACGTCAAAATCCATTCATATCTACATTTATTTTTACCGGAAAGTGAATAACAAGACACCTGAAATAATAGCCAATAATAGTTGTAACTTTTAAGGTTGTAGACATCAAAAAAAATATAATACAAAAATACTAGCTGTTTCTGAAAATTCCTACTATCTTTCAAGAAGTATGGCATTTTTTTTAATCACCTGTTCAAATGGCCTCATATTGGCCTCATTGCCTTGCTCGGCACTTAGTTTAACTTATTAAAAGAAATATCAGTTTTTTTTTATACTATCTTGACTATTTGACGTCATTTTTACTTCCCGCGCCACTGGCGAGAGACTAATTTGATAATGAACTTCTAAATTCCCCTATAACTTGAAAAGTATGCCTCAGATTTTAACCAAATTTTGGCACATGGTTACTACTATGCCAACCACGAAAAAGAATCCATAATATCATGACAGTGTTGCGTAAGAAGTGACTTGACGTCATATTTTATAATTTTTTCTAGATATGTGGACCCTACTTGGTGGAGAGCTACGAGCACTGAGACAACCAGAAGACATCGCGGCAGTTTACTTCCTTTGCCTTTGGCTTCTCATGATTGTGCACTACTACATGCACTACTACTTTGGTGAACCAACGTTCAGAAGAATGCTGGATTTAGGGGATGGTCAACAGTTTGACGTCATGTTCCAAATGAATTAATAATGATTTCATAATAAATCATTCCGAAGAGTTTTTGTTGTTTTATTAATGAGAGTATTACTCTGCAGAATAAATAAGTAGGGATTCATCAAGTCAGGTAGCTTGATAGTTTTTATAAGCTACTTGAGTTGAAAATAAATTTACTAGAAACGTTAATGTTTGGCTCGACTTGATTTTTTTATTGTTCCACTTGCCTCAGGGGCCTGTTTCGATCGTTGAAATTAATTTGGATGGTGGCTTGCCCTCATATATTTGATCCATGACGATTACTATCATGATAATTTGACTGAAAGATCGTTAGAATCAGGTGTCAAAGTAATTATACATATACTAAGTGACATATAAATCCGAACACCCAGTTTAAATGGTTTTATTTTAATAAAAGTTGGTGAATGTATTTATTTTACTGTAAATAACAAGTGAAAAAATTTTCAGCCTTATCAGTTGGACATTCCGGTTTTTATACTGCTTTTTTTTAATTCACTAACACTCTAAAAATGAATATTTCAGCCGCAGTAAAGAATCAACGTGGGCGGATTTTGGTTCTTGACATCCTTTACGATCGGTTACGATGCCTAGAGTACGGAGACCTGTACGATTTCGTCAACTTAGTGAGTTTGATAGGGGCCGTATAGTGGGACTTCGGGAAGCTGGACTTTCTTTTCGGGCAATTGCAGTTAGAGTGCAAAGAAGTGTAGACACTGTGGTTAGGTGTTGTCAGGTATGGCTTCGAGAAGGCCGTACGCAAAGAGCAAGGGGCACTGGACGCCGCCGTAGAACAACAGACCGTGAAGATCGCCGCCTAAGATTATTGGCCTTAAGGGACCGTTTCTCCACTACCAGGTCCATTGCAAATGAATGGTTTGCAGAACACGGAACACCTATTGGCATGCGAAGTGTTTACCGACGAATGAGAAGTTTTGGCTTGTTTTCATACCGGCCACACTGGGTCCTCCCTTTAACTCGAGAACACCGACGTAATCGCCTTGAGTGGTGCAGACAACTGTCACTCTGGGATCAGGAATGGAACAGTATTGTCTTTAGTGACGAGTCTCGATTTTGTTTAGGCATGCACGATGGTCGTGCCACGGTTATAAGGCGACGTGGTGAAAGGAGGAATCCACAGTTTTTTTGAAAGACATGTTCATCACACTGTTGGAGTTATGGTTTGGGGTGCTATAGCTTATGGTTCCAGGTCACCTTTAATCTTCATCAGAGGTAACATAAACGCGCAGCGTTATATCTACGAAGTTCTAGGACCCCATCTTTAACCCTATCTTGACACCCTGGCAGATCCAACTTTCCAACAAGATAATGCCCGACCACATGTTGCAAGAGTCACAATAGACTTCTTTCAACATAATGATGTCACATTGTTACCATGGCCACCAAGATCTCCCGACTTATCCCCAATTGAGCACGTGTCGGATATGATGGGTAGGAGATTGCCCAATTTGCAACGTCCTCCTCAAACTCTAGAAGCACTTCGAGAGGAGTTGGTGGTTGCCTGGAATGAGATACCACAGGAGGACATTGACCACCTGATCAGAAGCATGCCTAGGCGTGTTGGAGAATGCGTAGCACATCAGGGTGCATCCACATATTATTAAAGGTCAAGGAGCTTTAAAGCAGTGCAATCATTATGAAATTTTTATCATTTACTTATTATTCTTCATTAAGTACTTATACAAAATTTTATTAAAATAAAACCATTTAAACTGGGTGTTCGGATTTATATGTCACTTAGTATATGTGACGGGAAGATGATATCGAAATAAATATTATACAGAGTGGCTAATGTATAACTGACCGATTTAAATTGCGCGTAATTTTTGATACCATAGTTGCCAAGTGTCCCTTGCACATTCACCTTATCGTCACACACATCACTAAACCACCACATGACCCTCCACTTAAATCGAAGGTTACAATACAACACGAGATCTAAGTACTAAAGAACAGATAGAGGGTGTAGGTGGCACTTGCCATCATCGCCAGTTTACTTAACTACTACCTCGCAAGCTTCCTTGTAGGCCTTTAAATTAATAATATTTTCCTTCGTGCATACATTATGACCTTGATTATTGTCCCTAAAAATTGGTGGTCTCTCACGATTGTAATTGGATCTATTATAATCCACGCGCCTATTTATTCTCATCGATATGACGCAAATACTCCTCCACAGCATCCAATGAAGTGAAATTATTGATCACTATACCCCGCTGAATTTCCGCATTAAAATGTTTGGCCAGCATACTTATCAAATTCGCTACAGGAATCTTATTGTCGAGAAAATTTGCCTGAGACATCAAGTTTAGGAAATAATCCGCTCTACCACCGCCTGGATGTATTCCATAAGCCAAAGTCATGAAAAGCTCTCTTTGCTTTACAACCCCCTAAAAGCTCTCTTTAAAGGCTGGCTGAAATGTGGCAAAATCAACCAACAAATCCTCCTTCAAACTTGCCCATTCGGATGCCGAACCCCTAAGACCACCTAGTGCTCTGGTAACCATGCGTCACTAAATATTTTCTCGATTTTTCTCAAAATTAGCATCGGGTGTATCTGCCCGTAAGCTGAGTAAGTAATACTACCACCCCCAATTCCTTCCAATGAGCAATATTGGCCCGATCATTAATTGGGTAAATCCGCTGATCTACCCCTTTGAAATTAAGACAGTCTCCGCCTCTGTCACACTCTGTGACATGACAACCTTCTCCACCAGCTGTCCAACTGTATTTTTCAATTCAGTGACAGACACCGCCAAATTCCTTACTAACGATTCTAAATCGACAGGCGCACCCCCCACACTCTCCTCTCTGTTCTTCCTCTTACTCCTACCTTTTCCTGACATGTTTTCCACTTCTAATGCAATATATCCTAACAATATTAAGATAATCTTACAAACCTACTACTAACTACAATACAATTATATTCAAATGCTCCCTAATCTCCCAGATCCTATCGTCGTACCACGTACCACCTCGTCTGTACTCCAAATCGCCTCAACAGCTCAACAAATTCCTAACTGCTACCAGCACGCTCGCAGATGTGCGAGAATATCAAATTAGAAAATTCTGACCAATCTACAGTGCAAAATATTTCACAGTGGCAACATCGCTTCGCCCACGCCGTCTAGAAACAGCCTTTCTTCCTTCCTCAAGCGCCGCGTGCCGCTATCTCGCGCGCCACCGAATCTACCCCTATCCTTGTCTGACTCACGTTGCTCGTATCTCCCTACGTCGTTTTACCGTCGCTGCGCGGTAAGCCCGCCAACGCTCTACTGCACAAGTTGTTCCCGTGAATACCGACTGGAAAACGTTTTTTACTTCCACGCTACGCCTGTACTGCTCCTTCCTCCCATATATACCTGTCGGCACAACTTCCGCAATCGACTGAAACGCCGAAAAGTCACTACTCCACGTTCTGTCACTCAAAATCACGGAAATCTCACGTCCCCGTTGCGACGCCAAAAGATGCACTGGGTTGCCGATTCTACCGATCGACAGACTAAACACTATCAGTTCAAAACTCTTATATTAGCATTCAGGGTACATACAAAAAGGCCCTGCCATTGTCACTGCTTGAATAAAAAATTACTGAACTAATAAAATTTGACAGCCTAAGCATGTACCACAACATAGTGTCACCCTACTGTATAGAAGATAACCAAGTAAACGTCAAACCGACAATTTGTCAAACATTCAACCCGACAGTGTCAACTTGTGTGTGAGCCTCAACGAATTTTACTGTAAGTATGCTTAATTTACAACTACCAAACTCGGCCAGATTGTCACTAAATCATTGCATTACACGTAGTATTGAAGGATTATTCAAAATCAATAACTAATTGCTTCTTTTTAAAAGGAGACTGCATCCACCCGCAAAATACCAATTTTGAGCTCGAAATATAGTAATATACTGAAAAGTTATGTCTTATTTGATTCTAGAAGGTGTTTTTGTGGCTTGAATAATACCGCAAACTAATTTGAATATCTATAGATCATTAAAGAATGCTCAAAATAGAGAAGAGTATTTTTAAAGCATATCCAAACTTCGACCAAAGGTCTTATGTTTATATATGAGAATATTCAAGTGACAGCCACAAAAAAAAGATGTTTAACTCCTAATAAGCCCATAATTTACCAATGGCGATACAAATAACGGCTTTTCTTGAAACAAGTAGATCTGAATCCCGCAGAAAATAACTTTTGGAGCAAAGAGTTGTGTGAGTAGGGAGCTATATCTAAGCATCTTCACCAATTCAGAGAGGGGCAGGTTAGATTACAGACCTTCAACCATTTTGAAACAGTTGCTTAAAGCAAAGGGAGAAAAAATAATTTCTATGCCGGGATGTTTTATGGAGTAAAAAACACACTTCACTCCTTGACCAAAAAAATATTATGGTGACTGTAGCATTGCGGATCATCAATTACCGTATCATCCGCTTATTTGAAAAGTTGTGTCGCTTTATGTATTAAGCTCGCTGATTTTTCATCTTTTCTCAGAAATGGAAAACTACATGCACGGCCCAATCTACGTACGGGGAGTAAAGGTGAGGCAGTCTGATCCACCCTATAGAGACATGCGAGGCGCGGTGAGGCAATGGGAGCTGGAAGACTTCGTGGCAGTCTACATTTTTTCGTTCATGGCTGTGTGGCTGATTTTGTCGTTGCTTTGTCGCTGACCTATTACAGCCACCACTCGCTGTTTACTATTTCTAATGGCGAATGTCTGACTACTGTCGTCTAATAAATATTTTTTAATGTTTTCGATTGTTTTATTTATTCGAAAATGAGAAAATGATCCATCTTAATCCTTCTCTCTTAGCTAAATGATGGGAATAAATCGCTCAATACTTCATACAGAAATATTGAGAGCTTCTGCTAACTGGTTATAAGTGAATATACGGTATTTTAAATTTTAAATATGTTGCCCACTGCAGTAATTCTTGTATATAGAAGGTTATAAATGGTATTACAATACAAACCTAGCGAAAATAACAATTTTTTTCAATAAATTTTGTTGATTTACTATATTTTTTCCGCGACTTTTTGCATCCAATACTAAAGAAACTCAATTTGATGTAGTTCTCGTGGCAGCAACCGCCACTATTATACTTACTATATGACATCGGCTTACTGGTTGCTTATGATCGCATGACAGATACAACATTCTTCCACCAAAGAGAACCCGATAAGTCTATCGATACCATATAGTAAGTCAAAAGCAAGGATTTTTGAGTTACTATAAGCCTTCGTTGCAGTGGTCAAAATGTTCTTGTCTTACCCTCACTCAATTTTATTAAAGCAGTAGGTAAATTGACCAATCTTCAGCTTGGGATGCTAGAAAGGAGACGCATCGTTTAGCTTGAATAAACTTTATCGAAAGCGAATGTCGAAAATGTTCTGAAAAATATTTTTTGCGTAATCAAAAATTCCTTTGTTAAGCTATTCGAAAAGTCATGTTAGTTTTTTTTTCATCTCTCTTATATTAGCGTAATCAAAATGGCGCTTCTCTCGTCGTTCTATATCATATAGCAAGCATAAACTTGTGTCTAGGTCAGAAAACCATGAGGAGCCTCTCTAAAATTGTAAATATACTAAGTGACATATAAATCCGAACACCCAGTTTAAATGGTTTTATTTTAATAAAATTTTGTATAAGTACTTAATGAAGCATAATAAGTAAATGATAAAAATTTCAAAATGATTGCACTGCTTTAAAGCCCTTTGATCTTTAATAATGTGTGGATGCACCCTGATGTGCTACGCATTCTCCAACGCGCCTAGGCATGCTTCTGATCAGGTGGTCAATGTCCTCCTGTGGTATCTCATTCCAGGCAACCACCAACTCCTCTCGAAGTGCTTCTAGGGTCTGAGGAGGACGTTGTAAATTGAGCAATCTCCTACCCATCATATCCCACACGTGCTCAATTGGGGATAAGCCGGGAGATCTTGGTGGCCATGGTAACAATGTGACATCATTATGTTGAAAGAAGTCTATTGTGACTCTTGCAACATGTGGTCGGGCATTATCTTCTTGGAAAGTTGGATCTGCCAGGGTGTCAAGATAGGGTAAAAGATGGGGTTCTAGAACTTCGTGGATATAACGCTGTCCGTTCATGTTACCTCTGATGCAGATTAAAGGTGACCTGGAACCATAAGCTATAGCACCCCAAACCATAACTCCAACAGTGGGATGAACATGTCTTTCAACAAAAAACTGTGGATTCCTCCTTTCACCACGTCGCCTTCTAACCCTGGCACGACCATCGTGCATGCCTAAACAAAATCGAGACTCGTCACTAAAGACAATACTGTTCCATTCCTGATCCCAGAGTGACCGTTGTCTGCACCACTCAAGGCGATTACGTCGGTGTTCTCGAGTTAAAGGGAGGACCCAGTGTGGCCGGTATGAAAACAAGCCAAAACTTCTCATTCGTCGGTAAACACTTCGCATGCCAATAGGTCTTCCGTGTTCTGCAAACCATTCATTTGCAATGGACCTGGTAGTGGAGAAACGGTCCCTTAAGGCTAATAATCTTAGGCGGCGATCTTCACGGTCTGTTGTTCTACGGCGGCGTCCAGTGCCCCTTGCTCTTTGCTTACGGCCTTCTCGAAGCCATGCCTGACAACACCTAACCACAGTGTCTACACTTCTTTGCACTCTAACTGCAATTGCCCAAAAAGAAACTCCAGCTTCCCGAAGTCCCACTATACGGCCCCTATCAAACTCACTAAGTTGACGAAATCGTACAGGTCTCCGTACTCTAGGCATCGTAACCGATCGTAAAGGATGTCAAGAACCAAAATCCGCCAACGTTGATTCTTTACTGCTGCTGAAATATTCATTTTTAGAGCGTTAGTGAATTAAAAAAAAGCAGTATAAAAACCGGAATGTCCAACTGATAAGGCTGAAAATTTTTTCACTTGTTATTTACAGTAAGATAAATACATTCACCAACTTTTATTAACATAAAACCATTTAAACTGGGTGTTCGGATTTATATGTCACTTAGTATAGTTCTAAATTGGCCAAGGTTCCTCATTGGTGCTTTTTGAAGGGTTCTTCTGATATGGAATAGGAGATCATTATTTCAGTTTGTCTCGCCGATCTCTCTCAATATGATCAGTAAATAGAATCAGCTACGGAAGGAATCTCAAAATTGGTCTGCTATTTTTTTAAAATACAGAAAGCATTTTTGTCTGTCTGTCGGTCTGTCCGGTAATCCTTGACCTTGAATGGTACTGCTCGGAGTTGGATGACATATTTACATAAGGCTACTACCACACCCAAAGACGAAAAATCTTTCTAGTTTTTGGAAAAAAAGCCCAAAAACGAAAAGTATTGAAAATCGCTCAAATATCGTTTCATTAGATTCAGAGGATCCTGATCATTAGATAGGGCAGACAAAGGATGTCTATGGACTAAGTTATTTTATGGGCCCGTTTGACTGACTTGATCCGTTTAATTTCTCAGTTGTAGATGTACGTAACCAATTTTTTCCCAGGGTGTAAACTGATCACGGCGTTGCGTAAGAAATGCAGAGTCAACCTACTTGACGACATTTTTTATATTTGTAGTCGCTCTAGCTGCGTCTTACAAGTTTGCCGCCAAGTCTTTGAGGAAAAATTGAACCTCATTTTTCGGCTTCCACAAAGTTTCTTGCAAGGTTGATGAACGTCATTCTGTAGATCAATTTTTCGATTCCGTAGTTTGGAAAATACTACGATATGAACAACGAATGGTACTTGTTTGCAAGCGCTTTTATGAAAGTATTCAGCAACTCGTATCTTTTAGTTGTATAATAAATCTAGTAGGCTACGTGACACAACATGGCCTATCATCAAAGCATATTATCTCATATTCGAATATTTCACTTATCATAATGTCTTCAGTTCGGCAAACTAATAAACAATAATATGCAACCACGGCGTCGTAGCGATGCAAAATTGACAGCTTGCAAAACCCTAACCTAATGCTGCATCCGCACGCTTGGCATTTGCCGCACTCCACAAACCCCGACCAACGCTTGCCTTTTATTTGAAGAAGCAAACGTCGCCGTCCACACGTTTGCGGGTGCGTCACTGAAAAGGCAACAGGCAAATATGACGGACGTCGGACTTGTGTCTGCCGTAGCATTTGGCTTAAGCTATTTTTATTATAAAACCAAAAAAAGATAAAACGAAAAGTACGACCAAGAAGGTGGTGGATGTTAAATATTCATATGAATCGTACCAGGTAAATTGTATTTGTCTTAATGAAATTGATATTTAGTTTCAAAATAGTACCTATCACAAACGTATGGATCACAAACGCTTGTGGCGAACTGCTTTTGATTTGCGACCAAAAAACCGACACCCGATCGGATCGGCTACAAGCGCTTTTTTTCAACTGTGCGTTTGGAGCAGTATTATGAGCACTTATTGTCTGATTATTTCAGGGTGTGTATAAAAATGACTGATTTATGATAATCTCATGTTTTTTTGTCAAAATGACAACTTTTTTTGCCAATTTTTTTACAGTCCCAGCTTCGAAACAAATAATCGTAAAGACATGAAATTAAGTGATTGCATTATGAATCAATAAAGGAACGTCCTATATCGCTCATTTTCCACATATAATTTATTTTTCGCATAAAAATTTTCTTTTTCTTTTGAAGGAAAACGATTTTTTGAAAGTATGTGGATATAAGACATAAAGAACTGAAAGAACAAGCCATCAAAAAAAAAAATCAACTCATTCGCTCAAACGGTTTTTGAGTTGTAGATGTAATTTGACAAATATTTTGGCAAAACCACGCCTCCCGCTGACCACGCCCTCGGCGGAAGATTATTGGCCCTATTTAAGACAGGTGCGTACATAAGTGTTGTAGCTGTAATTATTTTCATTGTTTTAAGTGTATTTGGAGCTAATTGGTGTTTTGTTCTAACGTTATTCTCCGCTATCAAGGATACATACAGGAGGACGAAAGAGATGTCTACGTCGAAAGAATGCTCTAAAAGCAAGGTAGGTATTGCTTTATAGAATATACAGTGTGGCAAGCAATAATTTCTCTAAAATCAATTTTTTCCATTTGTTCGAATGACTTGACTCGGGTTTGACAAATTCGATTTGTATGAAAACTATATACTCGAAACAAATTAAATTTGGCAGGTATATTAAGTAGTAATGTAGCAACCACACATACATGGCACGGCATTTGTATTTCATCTGCTGTTATTCTAGATTTTATTATTGTTTATGCTATTTTTTCAAAAATAGCATCCGTGGAAATTCCAGAAGCAGAGTTTTGCTTTCACGTTAAAAACTACTTTAGAGTTTAGCAATATACTATGCCAAAAACCAACGTGACTGAACTGAACTTCAAAAGCAGAGAGATATATGAGCAGCTAAACTGTTAAACGGGAACTTCAGGCGCAACTGTTTAGAAAGAATTGAAATGCATTTTGAGGAATTACGAAATTGATTTCAAGTCGTGAGTATATGCTCAAAACATCTGTCATGGTTCGAAATGCACGAACGACGTCTACGTAACTAATATTTTCAGTCTGCGGAAAGCCTGTGGAAATCTTGTACACGAACAATAAAAATTAAACCTAGCCTAAGCGTGTGGATCCGGCTTAAGACCGGTGGTAGATTTACCCATAACCCCCAGGCGTCAGGCGATTGGATAAGCTCCTAGAGTGACTGTCTGACTCTGACCTCTGACTGTAGCACGCAGAACGGCAGAACGCACACATCCGCAAATCAATTAATATCTACCGAAAATGGAGAAAAACAACAATCAGGGTATGTTTTAACTATATTATATCCATTACTGAAAATGATTTTATTTATATTTTTGTGAAAAACTCTTGCATATACGGTGAATTTGTTGTCAAGTACATTTTAAGGTTATGTCGATATTACAGTTGGAAAATCAGTTCATTTTATCAACCCTTAAAGCTTTTGTTCATTATCTATTGTCTATAATAAATGTAAATGTTGAATCTTTAGTCATAGTTATATTATTAGTAAATTTTTGATACCTATCAGGCATAATAGTTATACATGCTTTCCATACGTCTGTCATTGAAACAAAAGTATGATTTATTTTCGTAATTACAAATGTGATCAAGGCACCAGCAAAATTCTTTTCGGGGGAATCCTTACATTAGCGAAAATGCCTAATCAAGTTTCGAGTCTTTTGATGGAATTGCGTAGAAATTATAGAGTTAATCTACGTCTTATCATTTTTTATAGATAAGAAAAAGACACCACCAGAAAATGGAGCGGATATCACCGAAGTTATAAACAACGTGATATTCTGGTATTCCCTCCTCCTCATGATCGAGCAGCTGGAACGTCGACAACGGATGGGAAGAGGCCATGGCGATGGTGGTAACGACGGCGGTGCTGCCAAATGAAGCTTTTATAAAAGGCCCAGTCGTTTTAAAAAATGGTTGGCCAGATAGCCAAATAATGAATCGATGATTAATATTTGACAATATGGCCGCCGTTTATGAAACGACGGCGTTTTATTTTCTTTTTACTTTCATCTATAATAATATATTATGTTCTGTATTACAAAACTTAAATAAAGTGAATTACTGAAAATGGTGTCCCATTTTATTTTTTGTATTGGATAGGGGTACGCCTGTCACGATCACAGCACTTACAACCCACTGGGCCCCTCACACGTCTTTGTTGAAGGTACGTCAGATAAAGTGCGTCAAGTAGGTTAACTTTCAATCTACGAAAATTATGTTTGGAGATAATCAAGGATTTGTAAATTATTTCTTAAGCAAAAATCCCTTATACGAATTAAATGAAATTTGGCCAGCATGTAATTGGAAGTGCTATGATCTAAAAGATATTGGTGTTTAAGCCTTATTGTTAAAAAGTGTATAACTTAGGCACTTTTTTAAAACATATACTGGATATCATCCTATTTTTATTTGTTTTGATGAAGGTTCGAATTGTGTAGGTTTTCCAAAATAAGTTGTGTCTCATCTGGCTGCCTTTTTTCTTCCTTGTTTATGAAACGACGACGTTTTATAAACTTTCATCTATAATAATATATTATGTTCTGTATTACAAAACTTAAATAAAGTGAATTACTGAAAATGGTGTTCCATTTTATTTTTTGTATTGGATAGGGGTAGTCTGTCACGATCACAGCACTTACCACCCACTGGGCCCCTCACACGTCTTTGTTGAAGGTACGTCAGATAAAGTGCGTCAAGTAGGTTAACTTTCAATCTACGAAAATTATGTTTGGAGATAATCAAGGATTTGTAAATTATTTCTTAAGCAAAAATCCCTTATACGAATTAAATGAAATTTGGCCAGCATGTAATTGGAAGTGCTATGATCTAAAAGATATTGGTGTTTAAGCCTTATTGTTAAAAAGTGTATAACTTAGGCACTTTTTTAAAACATATACTGGATATCATCCTATTTTTATTTGTTTTGATGAAGGTTCGAATTGTGTAGGTTTTCCAAAATAAGTTGTGTCTCATCTGGCTGCCTTTTTTCTTCCTTGTGATATTCCAGATTTTTAAATCTTCTTTTGCCAACAAGTCTTCCTTGTAAATTTTTTGCCAGGGATTTCCTTGGTGTAAAGGAAATAGTTTGCTTTTAAATAAGAGAAAATGCATACTTTACAATTTAAAAAGGCCTATCTGCTAAATCCGACCAAAAATTGAAAGGTATTTAGGTCTCTATGTTGCTCATGGGCCTTTTTCAAGTGTATATTTGTTGAATAATAAAACGTCCCAAGTTTACATAAGTCCAGAAATTTCAATACACTTAAAGTAAGTGGCAGTTAGGCCCATAAAATTAAAATGGAAGAGTATATTAAAAAGACCTAAGATCTCTTAGGCCTATATTTTCTAGGCCTATTACTCACTTAGGCCGTTTTACGTTTATAAGATAATAATATATTTGTTAAAAGGGACCATTTAAAAAGGCGTAGAAGGTAGATTGGACTTTACATTTTATATCTTGCAGTTAGGACATCACACTTGCGCCCTTATCAAATAGCTTTTATCTAAATCTACCAGGATGATTCACTTAGGAACACTTTCATTGAAAAGAGAGTCAGTCAAATTTCTGCAAAATTGTACATAGGCCCTTGTTCGACCAAGCCACAGATTTAGCTTCTCTTAGAAAAAAGTTGCTCCAGTTATTCCAGTTCATCAATAATAATCTGGTGATCCGCGGTGAAGCGAGAGTAGTCGCTCATCGACTGTGGAGTCAGGGCAGCTGGGCTTTCTTGAATCCTGTCAAGGGGCATACTGCCATCTTAGTGGAATTGCAAAGGGAGGACCCCGTCCTTCTAAGCAGGGGTGATCGTATTACCCCTAAATATCGCTTCAACCGCAAATGTATTGTGGAGTATCCAACGAGGGAGGAGTGGGACGCCGGTACTCTCCAGAGTGAGCGGGCAGGTCTTCGTCTGTGCGACCATTCGCGGTACTTCAGAAGCCTCCCCACCTATGAACCTCTCCAACACATTACTTATAAAAGAAAGCAAAGCAATAGGCCTCCGCGGTCTGGGGGTACGCTGCTCCCAGCTAGCGCAAGCGACTTGCTGCTCTAGAGATGAAGCTACTCCGGATCGCCACCAGTGCACCATCCTACGTAAGAAACTCAACCTTGCGTAGAGACCTGCATTGGGACACCATTCACGAGTACATGAGGAAAAAAGCGGAGAAGACCTTCCACAAAGCTCAGGACCAGCCGAACGAGCAGCTACGATTTCTCATGGACTACGAGCCGGACGAGAGACCTCGCAACCGCAGAAACAGGTACCCTAGACCAAGGTCCCAGTTGGCACCCCCTAACTGGAACCTTGACTAGGAGACTAGGAGAACCCGCGGTTGCTCTCCCCCCCCCCAACGGCGTGGTTGCAGAAGACCAGGAACCACCGGGACCAGGACCCACCGGGACCAGGACCCACCGGGACCAGGACCCACCAGGACCAGGACCAACCAGGACCAGGACCCGCCACGACCAGGACACCATTGGGACACCATTCACGAGTACATGAGGAAAAAAGCGGAGAAGACCTTCCACAAAGCTCAGGACCAGCCGAACGAGCAGCTACGATTCCTCATGGACTACGAGCCGGACGAGAGGCCTCGCAACCGCAGAACCAGGTACCCCAGACCAAGGTCCCAGTTGGCACCCCCTAACTGGAACCTTGACTAGGAGACTAGGAGAACCCGCGGTTGCTCTCCCCCCCCCCCCACGGCGTGGTTGCAGAATGCCAGGAACCACCGGGACCAGGACCCACCGGGACCAGAACCCACCGGGACCAGGACCCACCGGGACCAGGGCCCACCGGGACCAGGACCCACCGGGACCAGGACCAACCAGGACCAGGACCCGCCACGACCAGGACCCACCGGGACTAGGACCCACCGGGACCAGGACCCACCGGGACCAGGACCCACCGGGACCAGGACCCACCGGGACCAGGACCCACCGGAACCAGGACCCACCGGGACCAGGACCCACCAGGACCAGGATCAACCAGGACCAGGACCCGCCACGACCAGGACCCACCAGGACCAAGACCCTTCAGGACCAGGACCCGCCACGACCAGGACCCACCAGGACCAGGACCCTTCAGGACCAGGACCAGGAACAATATATAGGTAAGAGGACTTGAAACTCTTGATTTTTCGAAAACAAGAGTTTCAAGAGAACCTAGAGACCCTCTATCGATGATCGCTTAACGACATCGATAGAATGTGCGAGGTAAAGGGAACCAACCCGGCGTTCCCAGAGACTGAAACACATGAGGAGACGTTGTAGCAGACCGCAGGTCACGCACAACACATGGCCTACCGAGACGCTGATGAGTCGGGCCATGCGGAGATTAGGGTTTAGTGGGTATCAGGTGGTCTCCTCAAGACAACCTGGAGTCCCACACACGCCGTAGCTCAGGCTATGGTATGGTGCGTAAACGCATTCCCCCCTCACCAAAAAAAAAAAAAAAGCCCGTCGTTGTTAGAGTCGGTAGTTAATTTTTTTTTTTTTGATCGGCGGCACATGACCTAATTTCCAGTTTTCTGGGAACGTGCCGGATTCAAGCTCCGCGGTACATCTCTTCAGTACAACGGCAGAATCAGGTCCGGACCAGAAGTTTCGTTGATGTCAATCGGACGGACTTGATTTCCCATATTCCGGCTGAGTCCTATTAAGCCTAAAAGTTCTTGGAATATATGCTCTGGAAGAGGCTTTCACAGTTTCACTAACAGCCAATTCACAACCGGTATTTACAAGATTAGAAAGAAAAATAAATTATTTCTACTGAACCCAAATGCTTCGTAGAATATCTAATCTGCACAAAGAATGCCAAACTCACAGCTTGCCGATAGAAACCTCTTGTTTCACCATATGAGTTCTGACAACTAAGCGTGATTTCATACATATCGTACAATATAATACAGGGTGGCGCATCGAAAACGAAACAGACGCATTTACTGGCAGCTCAGTTTTTTTTTTTTGAAAAACGCTCAGACCCGTCGATTTTATTTTCGAGGGGGACACAAGTTTGGTAAAAAATCATGTTAGCACGTGCAGCCCCCTAAGCGGGGGTGACACCGCCCCCAAAATCTTAAATGGAAAGGGGGGTCGAGTGATACCTTATTTTAAAGGTCTTTCGATTCCCTTTATAATGATATGAAATTAATAAATTAATTAATTTTATTATCAATTTTAAATCAATAAATCTTCAAAACTGCTGAACTGCTGGGACCTCGGTTGGCCGCGTGGGTCAGAGTGTCGTGCTACTGATCAGCCGGCCGGCCGGGCCGCGAGTTCGAATCTCGCCTTCGCCATGGATGTTGTGTGTTTGTTTTAGGCAGCAGCGGTGGCCGCAGTAGTAGACTCTTTGGTCTCCTGATCAGTCGCCGTGCGCTGTGCGGGTTCGAGTCCCGTCCCAGGAGAAATCTTTCTCTTGGCTATGGATGTTGTGATTTTCCGTAGGTGGTAGATGGTCTCTGACTGTCGAACGCGGAGGTACCACCCGGCGGTTCTCGTAGGCGGAGCCCGAATGTGTGTATGTTGCATGCACACGTGTTCCCTCGCCAGAGTCCGTGTGGCGTCCCCCCTTTTCCCATGTATCCCCCTATAGCCCCACGGTACCCAATGGGTGCTTAGGCCTTAGGCCTTCGTGGTAGTTGGAGTATAAAAAAAAAAGAAAAAACTGAAGCTCATGTATTCTACATCATTATAAAGGGAATTAAAAGACCTTTAAAATAAGGATCACTCGACCCCCCTTTCCATTTAAGATTTTAGGGTTGGTGTCACCCCCGCCCAGGGTGCTGCACGTGTTAACGTGATTTTAAGCCAGACTTGTCTCCCCCTCGATAACAAAATCGACGGGTCCGAGAGTTTTTAAAAAAAAACTGCGCTGCCAGTAAATGCGTCTGTTTCGTTTTCGATGCGCCACCCTGTATATTGTATAATGCTGGAAGGCTGTCCATCTAACATAAGCATTCGATATGATTCTTAATTTTTTTTTTCAGAACAACTCGCTGCAATTTACCAGAGGCTCCCATTTTTTTATTTTATGCGTATCAGTTCGAAACTCTTATATTAGCATTCAGGGTACATACGAAAAATAGCCCTTCCTTTGTCATTGCTCAGTTCAAAAAATTACTGAACTACCGCAACAAAATTTGACACCCTAAGCATGTACCACAACATTGTGGTCTCAACAGGAATCACCCCACTGTATAGTAGATATCCAAGTAAACGTCAAACTGACAATTTGTTAAACATTCAATTCGACAGTGTCAACTTGTGTGTGAGCCTTGACGAATTTTGCCGTAAGTATACTCAGTTTATAACTACCAAACTCAGCCAGATTGTTACTGAATCATTGCACTATACATAGTTTATTTAAAATCAATAATTAAATGCTTCTTTTTAAAAGGAGTTTGCGTCTACCTGCAAAATAACAATTTCAAGCTAGAAATATAGCAATATACTAAAGAGTTATCTGTTATTTGATATAATGTGTTTTTGTACCTTGAATAATGCCTAAAATAGGTAAGAGTATTGTTAAGGTGTATCCAAACTTCGACTAAAAGCTTTATATTTATATATTAGACGGTATAATGGTATTCTGCAGGTAACAGACACACAATGAGAAACGTTTCACCTCTAATAGGTCTATAATTAACAGATCGCGATAAAGGTAACGGCATTTCTTAAAACAAATAGGTGTCAATCCCGCAGAACAAACTTTTGGCACAAAGATCTGTGTTAGTAAGCAGATAAATGCTTAGATACATTTTATGTAGCCTCTTAGGGTCAATGTTAGTCTAACTATGGACAACCAGATAACAGAATCAAGAGAGAGTTCGTGTAGACTTACAGGCCATCAACCATTTTGAAACAGTTGTTTAAAGCAAAAGGGAAAAACAATTTATATGTGGGGATGTTTCGAGAACTATCCGTGACTCCCTTCATTGTCCAAAAAACGAAAAAACGCATAGGTTGTACCATATTAAGAATATTCTACTGCGCAAGTGGAAGCCAGGACAGGGTTGCCAACACTTCGGTAATCAAATCTACTAAATCACACTGCCAGATCTACCAGAAATCTACTAGATGAAAATTATGAATTTCATAAATCTACCAGAAAATCTACTAGTTATAGCTAACCCTCATTTTGCAGTTAATTACGTTTTAGGTTTTAAAGGCGTATGCGCATATTATGTATTTTTAGTTTTTACTCTAATTTAGATCTTTGGACATATATTATTTCAAATTAGTAATACTATATTGTGAAAATATATTTTGAATATTTTGTAAATATTAAAGATAAAGGTAAATCTATAAATAAAAGCAGAACATTTAGTAATATTGCAAAAATATATTTTATCTAGAAACGAAACAAAAATAGACGCATTAATTTTAGTCCTTGCACGAATAATAAAAAATACACTTTCTAAAAATAAAAATAATTCACTATTAATACAGTCCAACAAATCCTGTCAAAAAATAAAAAAATTATTAGAACAAAAAAATAAATAAAAAGAAACTCCTAAGATCTAATTGAAAACGGATAGAAATAAACAATAGAAATTTACATCTTTTAAACGAGATTAGTTAAGTATATTTCACGTCTCGTCATCAAGGATGTCATTATCACTTTCCCATTCTAGTGGTTTATAGCTCTGCATATTTTTTATTTTTGCTAAAACCGCCGAAGGGATTTCATAGTCATGACAACATTTATTTACGCGTTGCAACCCAGATCTAATGTTTAAAATTGATTTTAGCATAGGTAATTTCATTCTGTTGCGCAACTTTGTTTTTATTAAATTCATTTGGCTAAAAAGCCGTTCTACTTCAGCATTTGAATTTGACAGAACTAAAAATGATAATGCCACTGTCGCTAAATCTCGAAATGGGTACGCTCCATTGCAGTCCTGCGCTGAATGAACTTCATACCAAAAATCAATAGTGTTTTGGGTATTTTCCTACTGCTTTAAAGTAATATTTTTCCACTGAATACTAACTTTTTCAATTAGCTGTGGATCATATTCGAAATGCTCGAGAATGTTTATTAAATCAGGTTTAATTACACGCAGTGTATTTTCGACTGAAAAAATTGAGATTTGTTTTAAAATGTCAATATTATCAGGCATTCTTTGCGTGATCTCTTTAATTAATTTTGTGAGGAAACGAATGCACCTTTCTCTGAGATTTGCCTCATCTGAGAAACCGGCCTCCTTCATTTCTTTTATTTTATTTTCGAAAAGATATCCCAAATAATTGTCGCGCACAACAAATGTCTCGATATCGTCGTAAAATAATTTGAAACGGCTGTTTGGTGTTGTTACTTTCTTTATTAAACAATTTAACAACATAGTCACGTCTTCCAAAAGCTTACATGACTCTGCGTTTTTTGCTTCAAAGGCTTTGTTCACTCTTTGAACCCCACCTAAAATTGGCTTGAGAAAACATATAAAGGCATAATTGGTATCATCTTTATACATTTCGTATAGCATTTGGGCAGTATAACATTTGTCGCTATCTTTAACAATTGAAAAATGAGTTTTCAGTTCAACCCACTGGTCAAAAATTCGTGTAACGGCAGACTCAATGGAAAGCCATCGTGTCGCCGACATCCCTGTTATTTTTAAGGGATCATTGCCTTCATTTATAGTATTATATAATTGCCTGTACTTTATTTGCCTAGAAGAAGAATGTTGAAACCAATTGTAAGTTTCTTGAATTAGGAATTCTAGATTCCTAGGTAAACACTCTTTAGCAGCTGCAGAAACTGCCAACTGCAAAGAATGGCAAATACAACGGATTAAAATTAGGTTTGGAACCCGTTCTTTCAATTTTGCGTATACGCCATTGTTGATTCCCACCATGACGGACGCATTGTCAGTACCAATACCTTTTAGATTAGCAAGGTTTAAATTAAATTTTTTTAAAGTCTCTAAAACAGCATCAACAATTGCATTAGCATCACAATTTTCTAATTCTACTAAATCTAAAAATGAGTTCACTATTTGTTTCGTCTTATAACTAAAATAGATTATTGTACATCCTAAATATTTATCGACCGTAATGTCTGTTGACTCATCTAATAAAATACTAAAGGGAGAATTACCAATATCCTCACATGATTCTCTGACAAAATGTGGCGATAAAACATTTTTTATTAGATTACTACATTTGGTTCTATGCATTTGCATATTCTTAGAGACAGAGCAGTTAATAAATGCTTTTTTACACATATCTATTAAATGACCTGATATATTTATAGAGCTATGTTGGGCAATAAAAAGAGCTAATCTCCCTTCAGCAGACTTGGTATCTTCTTGGTCAGTAACAGCAGTAAATGGAATTTTTTGCTGAACTTTTCCTTGGAATCATCTCCCTAAAAATACGCTTGCGTTTTCCTTATGCTTTTTGGATTCACCATGGCTCTTAAGGTCGGCGTAACGACTCGTAATTATTTTACTACAAAATTTGCATTTAGCTTCCCTTCCTAAAGTGCTGTCAATAACCAACAGCCATTCTTTTAAACTAGGGTCCTTTAACCATGCGTCTCGAAACTTTTGAGTATATTGCGGTTTAGGCATGGTTCTGCAATCTGTAATACATAATAATTCAAAGTAATCTACATCATATATGTATCAGTATCATGCTCACTTACCAAAATCAAATAATTAGGCAGGCAGTCTTAAAATAGCAGAACAGTGTGCTATAGCTATTAGAAAGCACACAAATTATACTGTAAATAATGTTAAAAAATCGCCTAAATCATCGTATACGAGATAAACTTCACTTGTCTGTGCAAGAAAAAACAATGTCTGTGATTCCCGTTTCCCGTGGATGATGCTCAGAACGTGACGTGATCAAATCACGTGACAAAAAGATGGCGGCTGAATTTCTCGCGCCATCTACCGAAGGAATTGGCAAACATCATGCAGTTAGTGATGTGCAACCCCAATAGATGTCCCAAAACGAGGCGCAAAATCGTTCATCTGACTTTCATACCCCTGATTTCCGACAAAGGAGAACTAAGAGAAGAAGTACGCATACGCAAATTAATTCATTGGTTCTGCCATCTATCGATTCGATGTTCAACTAAATCAAAATAGGATATTTCCCAATGACAGTTTGCTACTTTCTTGAATTATTACTTCAATTGACAAATTGACATGAGTAACTAAGGTTCATAATGATATAAATCGAAAGTGGCTTACTAATTATTCTGATTCTTTCATTCTACTGGATTTTCTACTAGCCACTAAAACGTAAATTTGCCCACTAAATGAAGACTGCAATCTACCAGATCTGGTAGAAAATCTACTAAGTTGGCAACCCTGAGCCAGGAGGGCGTGGCCCCCCTCCACCCCGAATAGACGCCCATTAATCTGCCATGCTGTTCCAGTAATAGCAAAACGCATCACCACTCCTTTAGTGTTTTATTATGAAACTTGTACAGAAATCATACCCTGAAATGCCGCATAAATATCGTCACCACTTTTTTGTTTTTAAAGATACCTATTAATAAAAAATAAACGTGGTTGAGTTCTGTAATGCATGCTTAATCTTAAAAAATGAATAGTTCGTGCTAACGGCTGGAAAAAACAACTTATGGCCTTACAAAAGTTATGTAATGCGGTATAATAAGAGAAATCACTTGGTTGGGTTAGTGATCTGTTTTACTGCTTCTAACAAATATTAGCCAGAGTGATTCTACTAATATACTAAGTGACATATAAATCCGAACACCCAGTTTAAATGGTTTCATTTTAATAAAATTTTGTATAAGTACCTACTTAATGAAGCATAATAAGTAAATGATAAAAATTTCAAAATGATTGCACTGCTTTAAAGCCCTTTGACCTTTAATAATGTGTGGATGCACCCTGATGTGCTACGCATTCTCCAACGCGCCTAGGCATGCTTCTGATCAGGTGGTCAATGTCCTCCTGTGGTATCTCATTCCAGGCAACCACCAACTCCTCTCGAAGTGCTTCTAGAGTCTGAGGAGGACGTTGCAAATTGAGCAATCTCCTACCCATCATATCCCACACGTGCTCAATTGGGGATAAGTCGGGAGATCTTGGTGGCCATGGTAACAATGTGACATCATTATGTTGAAAGAAGTCTATTGTGACTCTTGCAACATGTGGTCGGGCATTATCTTGTTGGAAAGTTGGATCTGCCAGGGTGTCAAGATAGGGTAAAAGATGGGGTTCTAGAACTTCGTGGATATAACGCTGCGCGTTCATGTTAACTCTGATGAAGATTAAAGGTGACCTGGAACCATAAGCTATAGCACCCCAAACCATAACTCCAACAGTCTGATGAACATGTCTTTCAAAAAAAAACTGTGGATTCCTCCTTTCACCACGTCGCCTTCTAACCCTGGCACGACCATCGTGCATGCCTAAACAAAGTCGAGACTCGTCACTAAAGACAATACTGTTCCATTCCTGATCCCAGAGTGACCGTTGTCTGCACCACTCAAGGCGATTACGTCGGTGTTCTCGAGTTAAAGGGAGGACCCAGTGTGGCCGGTATGAAAACAAGCCAAAACTTCTCATTCGTCGGTAAACACTTCGCATGCCAATAGGTCTTCGGTGTTCTGCAAACCATTCATTTGCAATGGGCCTGGTAGTGGAGAAACGGTCCCTTAAGGCCAATAATCTTAGGCGGCGATCTTCACGGTCTGTTGTTCTACGGCGGCGTCCAGTGCCCCTTGCTCTTTACGTACGGCCTTCTCGAAGCCATGCCTGACAACACCTAACCACAGGTCTACACTTCTTTGCACTCTAACTGCAATTGCCCGAAAAGAAAGTTCAGCTTCCCGAAGTCCCATTATACGGCCCCTATCAAACTCACTAAGTTGACGAAATCGTACAGGTCTCCGTACTCTAGGCATCGTAACCGATCGTAAAGGATGTCAAGAACCAAAATCCGCCAACGTTGATTCTTTACTGCGGCTGAAATATTCATTTTTAGAGCGTTAGTGAATTAAAAAAAGCAGTATAAAAACGGGAATGTCCAACTGATAAGGCTGAAAATTTTTTCACTTGTTATTTACAGTAAGATAAATACATTCACCAACTTTTATTAAAATAAAACCATTTAAACTGGGTGTTCGGATTTATATGTCACTTAGTATAGTATTCTATGTGATCGCAGAGCTGAGCTACTTGACGTTATATTTATTTCATTATTTTTTCTAGAAATGAGGAACCAAATTGGTGGAGAGGTACGAGTACTGAGACACCCAGCAAACATTATGGCTATTTACATCTTTTGCCAGTGGATTCTGATGATCATACTATTCTACAAGCGCTACTACTTTTGTAATCCACCATTAAGATCGTTGAAGTTTGAGAATGGTCCGCATTATGACTTTACTTTCTAAATGAATAAGCAATGATTCCAAAATAAATCATTTCGAAGAGATTCTGTGTGTTTTATTATAGAGTATTTAAAGAATAAATAAGTAGGTATTCATTACGTCAAGTAGCTCAAACGTTGATACTTGTTCTACTTGACTTCAGGTCAGTCATTTTCAAACTACTTGATAGCAAATTATATGTTTGTTTTACTATAGACGTTCAGCTATATTTATTTGTACAGGGTGGCCAAATATATAACTGACTGACTTAAATTGTGCGCCGTTTTTGATACACGCATGTTTGAACTGTACTCCGGAAAATATCGAGAGAGAGCTCGTGTGTGGTGGAGCGCCCTAACACGTCTACCAGACATCGTTCTCAAGAACTGGGTATTCGTCGCACGTCATTATGCACTGTTTTAAAAAAAGACTTGCATTTGGGGCAATAAATAATTCAGTTAACCCAGGAGCTACAGCCTAAAGACCATGAAAGTCGTCGGCAATACAGTCATGCAATATTGCAGCTTAATACCCAAAATGACGGTTTTTACCAACAACTGATAACGAGCAAAATAGAGACGCTGCATATTGTCTATTTTACTATTTGTCACATGATGTAGTCTATAAGATGTCCTTCTTAGCTGCAGTTGGTGTGGTACGAAAGATACCAGTAATCAACAACTGATTAACTTCCTTATTTTCAAAACGCTAAAAACCAGGAGACAATTTTCTGACACTCCACTTCAAAATTTGTGCCAAAAACTCTCTTGATATCTAAATCAATAAATAAATGGTGTTTATTGCCCAACAGTTAAGGAAACCATTTACATGACAATCCTAAGATAAATCAAAATAACAAGAAAAGAAAACACATAAAAAGCAGGTGATTTCATCATAAAGAAAAAAACAAACAAGTAAAAGAAGTAAAAAACATATTTCACTCAGGTGAGTAACATATCATAAATTATCCAAGCAATTTCTAGCTACGCCCAGAATGCTGTTCAAACTATCAGCATGCATATCACAATAATTTGATATTGCATTGAAAGTTTCACACATCACATACAGGGTGGTGCGTCGAAAACGAAACAGACGCATTTACTGGCAGCTCAGTTTTTTTTTGGACCCGTCGATTTTGTTTTCGAGGAAGACACAAGTTTGGCAAAAAATCACGTTAGCACGTGCAGCCCCCTAAGCGGGGGTGACACCACCCCCAAAATCTTAAATGGAAAGGGGGGTCGAGTGATACCTTGTTTTAAAGGTCTTTCAATTCCATTTATAATGATATAAAGTTAATGTACTTCAGTTCAGTAGTTTTGAGGATTTATTGATTTAAAGCTTAAATAAAACTAATACATCATCATTAGTGGAGATCAATACATTTGGCAGCAAAGTAATTTAAAAATGAAGAATGAACTGACCCGTTAGGCAAGTACATGTTGAAAATGGCCGCCATGACTCTCCATGCAATGATAAAGATTTTGCTCAAAACGTTGCCGCGCATTTTGCAATATTTGAGGAGTAATTTGAAGGCAGTCATCCACAATTCTTTGTCGCAGGTCTTCTAATGATGTTGGCTGAGTAGCATAGATTTTGCTTTTTAAATGACCCCACATAAAGGAATCCAAAGGTGACAAATCTGGCGATCTTGGGGGCCCTTCAATGGCACCTCTTCTACCAATCCATCGATCTGGAAACGTACGATCTAAATATTGTCAAACACGTAATGCGTAATGTGGTGGGGCACCATCCTGTTGGAACATCAACCTATTCGCAATGTACCGCCGTCCATTCTGATTTTCAATTATGGCTGTTAATGCAGGATCTATGGCGTCTTCCAGTAATTCGAAATACATTTCACCGGTCAAATTTTGTCAAATCAATCGCAAACTGTATATATTTAAAATAAGATATATTTTCTTATCTTTCTTCAAGAAATAACTTTTTTGCCACAACACACTTAGACGCATTAAGAAATAAATTATTCTCGTCACACCAAGCCGCTAGAGATTCAATATCACGCTGAAGTGCAATAGAATCAGTCTCAGACTCAATATTCCTGAATAATTTTAAATCATCCGCAAATAGGAGCTTATTATAACGTAAATAATGCATATATCAATAAATAAGGTAAACAATAAAGGTCCAAGATTTGAACCCTGAGGCACTCCCGATTTAGTTATATACTGGTACGACTCTTTAGCTATCAATAATTGGTACTAGGACTTGCCTTGGATTCCGCTCGGTGTAAATTGAAAGTAATAATCATCTTCTCGCTAGGCAAGTCCCAAGGATGTTATCATGCCAATAAAAATTCAGCATCCTGTAGCGTATTGGTGGCTGTAAATACCAAACTGACAAATTATCAAACCTTCAAGTCGACGAAGTTTGCCGGTGCGTAAATGAGCTCAATTTTCTAAGTAAGTGGAGAGTTAACCTCAGTATCGATACTCAGGAACTCACTCTCATACTCAATTTTATTTATACCGCAGCAGCCGCGCAGGCAGAAGCCTAAATGCCGGGACATCGCGGCTTCTTGGTAAGATAACACCTGACTGTAATGTGATATCCAAAAAATCAAAACTCTATCAACTAGATTTGCTAGCAGACTCCAGAAGATGGTTCTTGGTGGCTTTTTTAAATGCAAGTAGACATTTGCTTTTGTGAGTATCATTAAGAGCACTACAAGTTGGATTTATTATACAGGATCTAGAATAGCGACACTTTGCTAATTATGCTTCCCTCATCAAGTCCTTTCATACCCTTGTATAGGGGTGGAAAATATAAATCGCGATTTTGCGGCGGCCACCATATTGAATTAAGAATTTCACCACTATGCCTGTTTCTTACATCAAGCCTTTTCATTTGATATCCATGTCGTAAGAGGACTTTGCTTATTGTTTTTCTCATGAAGCGCAGCCTTTTGGTATCCGTGTTGATGGAATATGTGAATCGAAATTTTGCGTCCGCCGCCATATTTGATTAGAAACGACGTCACTTCGCTAATTGAGCTTCTCTAATCAAGCCCTTTCATTTTAAATTCATATCATAGGCGCCATCTATTGAGAATTATTGGCTTTGACGTTTGGAGGGTCTGTTGTCAAATTAGGTTAGTTAGCTTGGTCCTAATGGGCGGTGCCACTTGTTGTGTTGCTACCGAAAATCTTCTTCTCCAGAATAAATTCAGCTCAAAATAGATTTCGTAGTCGATGTAACCGACAAGGGCTTGGGATATTTTTCAAACACCCTGTACTATGCAACTCCACTGACAGTAGCAGAGCTTTTTGTCAAAAAGTGTCAATTGTGAGACAGTCGTTTCAGAGGGCAATCAAAATGGTCTTTAACATGTGTATACCCATAATCATGGTTGTTAAATACTGTAAGTATGTTTTATATTCTCTGTGAAGAACAACTTTTAAAATGGTGACGTGGTAGCATGACTGTTTTTGTAAGAACGATCAAAGACCAGAAAGGACTTCCGGCGACCTTCCTCTTACTGTTTTTAGGCTTACTAATCCGTTTGTCGTTTTGTTGATCTTTTCTATCATAATAGAATCCGCTTAAAGACCTTTTTGAGGATAATATTGGCTAACTAATTTCTGTCATTAAGTTCTACTTCTTAGCACACAGACTTCTTCATGTCCTAGGGCGATAGGGTAACTTTGGCGCCTGCTATCTTTGAAACATTTGTATCACAAGAACTGTCAGTATTTATTTGTTGTTAGGCAACGGCAATAACCAGCACGCAACGATATAGTACTGTGATTTTCTTTATTTTTATATCCACTTAAGGACAGTACTCAATCTTCTGCTGACACTATAGCTGGTTGTAGATACACACAAAATTTTGTGTATCAGGCATATTGAGCGGAAACAAAGAGTTATCTATTTATGTTATTATGCCAAAATATTTATGGAAAACATTCTTTTCAGGGATAAGGAACTACTTCTTCGAAACTTCCATCGTATCAGAAGACGACATGGAGGACTATCGCGATGTGCTTCACTACTACGTCTGGGCTCTCGGCATACTTCTCATAATGGTGATCCTCGTCGGCATTCAACTTCGATGGATAAGACTAGTTTAACTCCAGCGAGAAGCTGTTAATTACTTAATGTGTCAAACATTATGTATGTAATGGAAGAAGTAAATAAACGTTGATTTGAAGAATGCTCGTGGTTTGATTTTTTCAAACTTCTTTTTTTTTTGTCATGGGAAACAAACATGTCTACATGAAACAATTTGAATCTTATAATATGGTTTGGTTCACGTAAAGCGGAGCATGTGCCTAGTACCGGGAGGTAAAATTTATAGCCAGATTGTTTTCCGGTAGTTAAGTCCCACTTTTTAACACATTAGCTTCATTGTGCCATAGCTGAAAAGCACTGCTATCGTTTATTTGTCACTAGACACTGGTAGCAATTACCGACACCTGGAAATGCTTCAAAATGAGAAAATGACAGATTTGATAGAAAGGTAAGCTGTTACTAACTGGCCCTATGTACTTCTAAGCTTTCCATCCGAGGCTTAGACGTTTACCAATAAATCCATCCTCAGGTGTGCTATTTTCTGATTTGTCTACATCGTCTACATAATCTACCTTGTCTACATGAAAGTGTAGACAATTAAAGTCAAGGGTGATAGCTAACAATTGGCTATTGACACGACCAGCTTCATTCTTTGATGGGGCTTCCGATCCGATATAAAAAATACAACAATAAGAGAGGGGATGATGTAGAAAAATAAGATGTATACTAAGTGACATATAAATCCGAACACCCAGTTTAAATGGGTTTAATATTTAATAAAAGTTGGTGAATGTATTTATCTTACTGTAAATAACAAGTGAAAAAATTTTCAGCCTCATCAGTTGGACATTCCGGTTTTTATACTGCTTTTTTTCAATTCACTAACGCTCTAAAAATTAATATTTCAGCCGCAGTAAAGAATCAACGTTGGCGGATTTTGGTTCTTGACATCCTTTACGATCGGTTACGATGCCTAGAGTACGGAGACCTGTACGATTTCGTCAACTTAGTGAGTTTGATAGGGGCCGTATAGTGGGACTTCGGGAAGCTGGACTTTCTTTTCGGGCAATTGCAGTTAGAGTGCAAAGAAGTGTAGACCTGTGGATAGGTGTTGTCAGGCATGGCTTCGAGAAGGCTGTACGCAAAGAGCAAGGGGCACTGGACGCCGCCGTAGAACAACAGACCGTGAAGATCGCCGCCTAAGATTATTGGCCTTAAGGGGCCGTTTCTCCACTACCAGGTCCATTGCAAATGAATGGTTTGCAGAACACGGAAGACCTATTGGCATGCGAAGTGTTTACCGACGAATGAGAAGTTTTGGCTTGTTTTCATACCGGCCACACTGGGTCTTCCCTTTAACTCGAGAACACCGACGTAATCGCCTTGAGTGGTGCAGACAACGGTCACTCTGGGATGAGGAATGGAACAGTATTGTCTTTAGTGACGAGTCTCGATTTTGTTTAGGCATGCACGATGGTCGTGCCAGGGTTAGAGGCGACGTGGTGAAAGGAGGAATCCACAGTTTTTTGTTGAAAGACATGTTCATCACACTGTTGGAGTTATGGTTTGGGGTGCTATAGCTTATGGTTCCAGGTCACCTTTAATCTTCATCAGAGGTAACATGAACGCGCAGCGTTATATCCACGAAGTTCTAGAACCCCATCTTTTAATAATAATAATAATAATAATAATAGCCTTTATTTAACCTGGCGGGTGTTAGCTAAAAGCTGTTTTTCATACCAACCAGGGCCAAACAAAATTATAATACAAAATCTGGGATACATAAACATTGTTGAGTAACAATAATGAAAAATCTATTATGCCAAAAATAGGCATTTTATTTAATTTAAAGAAAAAATCATATATATTCACAGTTAACAGTTACACCATTACATAAGTTAAAAACTAAATAATATAAGGTATTATGACATATTTTCAAAAACAAATTTTTTTACTTTTGACCTAAAAAGTGGAACAGATAAAACTTTAAAGCTGACAGGGAGCATATTATAGCGATTGGGTGCAGCAAAAGAGAAACTCTTAGTAAATAGGGTGGTTCTATGATGGGGCGTGTTGAGGGTGTAACCAATGAAACGGAGGTTGGCTGCATGATGCTGACTTCTCAAGGATAACTTATTATTTAAGTATATAGGGTATTTGGTCAATAAAATGCTATGAACCAAACATAAAATGTGAACCAACCACCTCTGCCTCATCGTCAACCAATTCACTTCTTGAATAAATGGAGACACTCGCTCCTTCTTCGGATTCCAACAGAATATCTAATACAGCTGTTCTGCACTTTCTGAAGTCTGTAAGCTTCGGCTTCAGTCAAACAAGGACCAAACACGGAACTTCCATATTCTAACTTACTTAAAATGAGTGAATCGCAAAGCTTAATTTTAGTATCTTGAGACAACACGTGCTTAAAGCTGTAGATGCTTTTTAGTTTAGCAAAAGAGCTCTGTACAACCTTAGAAATATGATCATGAAAAGTTAAGTGCTCATCAAAGATTATTCCTAAGTTTAATACCGATATTTTGTGTGTGAGCTCTTCACTATTGAGGCATAGCTTTATAGCATCTCCACTGAACTCGTTCTTCTTAGAGCGGAAGGTAATTATGGCCGATTTGCCACCCCATCTTTTACCCTATCGTGACACCCTGGCAGATCCAACTTTCCAACAAGATAATGCCCGACCACATGTTGCAAGAGTCACAATAGACTTCTTTCAACATAATGATGTCACATTGTTACCATGGCCACCAAGATCTCCCGACTTATCCCCAATTGAGCACGTGTGGGATATGATGGGTAGGAGATTGCTCAATTTGCAACGTCCTCCTCAGACTCTAGAAGCACTTCGAGAGGAGTTGGTGGTTGCCTGGAATGAGATACCACAGGAGGACATTGATCACCTGATCAGAAGCATGCCTAGGCGCGTTGGAGAATGCGTAGCACATCAGGGTGCATCCACACATTATTAAAGGTCAAAGGGCTTTAAAGCAGTGCAATCATTTTGAAATTTTTATCATTTACTTATTATGCTTCATTAAGTACTTATACAAAATTTTATTAAAATAAAACCATTTAAACTGGGTGTTCGGATTTATATGTCACTTAGTATAAATAAACTTGTATTTACTATACCAATAAAATTACTTAAACGTAACTCCGGTTCATATTGGATTCACCCTCCCAGTTATGAGGAGAAAAGTAATTCTGGGCCATAAACGAATAGCTTAGCTTTTACCTAGCACCCCCCCGCTATTGATGAGATTTATCCGTACCAGATCAAGTCCTCGGTGATCTAGACTCCGACCAGCCGAAATGAACGCCACTCTCGTAGGACTTGTTTTAGAAGCATTAATGAATAGTGAGTACTTTTCTTCAATTTCTTTTCACGTTTGCACTGCGATTTTACCGCGCATTTGTTATTTCAAACCTAACTGTTTCGGAAAATGAAAGTCCCAACCTTCAGGATTACAATAGCTGTTGGAATCAGCTAAATACAGAGCTCGACATCAACCGACTGATGCAACATGTCGTTTCCTTTGAAAGAACGTAAAATCGTCGCGTGAGATGTCAGCTTCGCCTGCAGAGATGTGTGCACGGATCTGGACATAATACATATAGATATAATCGGCTTTAGGTATCGAACCGTACTGGACACTGGACGTGTTTGGGTATTAAATCTCCACTACTTACATGCCGCACGAAGTACAATGTGTGATCAGATTTTGCAATTATCTACAGGTATGCCCGATAGATCCACATAATGAAATTCAGAGAATACGGGGGCGTTGTTGAGTGGGTCATTGTTGTCAAGTAAGTTAGCTCTGTACTACCCACGCAATGCTAAATATCGGTCCGTAAAGGATTACGTTCCTCCGCCTGCGAGAAATCCCAACTAACAATTATCACTCCTATTAGAGTTGCAAGAATGATTAAACAGTATTCCTTACACAGCATTGTATACTGTAAGAACATTGGCAAAACCCTCTTAGAACAGCTATACAAGCGGAATGGGCACACCTAATAGGACACTTCAGTCATTTAAGAGGTTGTATAAGGGCTGCAGGTAACAGTAATACAACAAAAGTGTAAGCCTCTTGCAGCCGCTTTAGGACATTTGCGTCAGTGCAAGATTCAGTTTTTGTCAACTATACAACTATTCTGTTACGTGATTCTACTTTATTGCAACCAAACTATTTCTTATGTATTGTATAGACGAAGTGAAGAATATATAACTAACACATTACAGTCATCTTGTTTAATTACATATCGGCCATTGTGAATTTCATACACAGGTATATGATAAACTTCTACACTGTGATATAGGGATATTGAATTACTTGCGCAGCAAATCTTGTTGTGATTATCGTGCAAAGTAGTTACGCAATTTCTACGGGCTTCGTATTTGATTCATATTTTGATAATGATCAAAAGTATGTCTAGATCAAGATGGAAAACGTAACTTATCTGCGTTAAATCTTCTACAAATCCTGTATTTAGACACAATTACACTAATGTTTATCACTTTATATCTGTAATTTCGAACTGAAACATAATTATTTAATATCAAATAGAGGAATAAATGTTTGCCCAACATGGCGGGTGGTTGTGTATAATCAAGGCATCGTCCATGTTGTCTTTAGTTTATTAGAATATTTTGGTGTTGCCTGCAGGTGTTATACAACAATTTGACAAATGTCTGAAATGAAATACCGACAGAGTCGAATGATTTACCTAGAATTTGTACCAGATCTATATCTTCAGTTTGAACGGTTGATACCACCTTTTTAACCAATACGCATGCGTTGTTTGTCTTAAAACAAATAACGTTTACACAACAGTTAAAAATTTGTCCTATAAGGTGCTGTGTAACTATGCTATAAGAATATTTTAAACACCTCATTTTAGAGCAAATATGTTGCAGAAAGCAAATTTGCATTCCACACAACATTAAGCCAGCATTTTGGTGTTCAGGCAACAACAATAGAGAGCTTTTATGACTGAACGGTTCTTTTACCAAAAGCTTATAGCACTACTTTGCTAGTTGGGATTCAGCCAACAACAGCGACTGCCTACTGCGACCACTGCACAGGTGACATTTTTTCCGATTTTTTTTTTATTTTTCAACATTTTCTCCTTGTAACACTACACACTTCTCCCGGCGATGCTTCCATCTCTATAAGCCGTCCAAATAGTACTCGGCGTTTTTCTCAGGCAAAATAATTGTTCGCGAAGGTGACTGCCTGTTTATTTGACGAACATCTCTGACCTCCGAGCGTAATTTCTAGATGAGGGTACAAAAAGAAGTCGCTTGGGGCTAGATCTGGTGAGTAAGGCGGATGGTCAAGCAGTTCTCCCCATCGTTTGGACTGTATTTCATCAAATTTGGTACAATCTCATTAACAATTCAACCACAGGAGCCGCCTGAAATGTGTGGTTTCAACCGTATGTAATAAATCACAACAAATTACCAAGAAGACGATATTAAATAAAAGCCTTGTAATGGTCCGCCCACTGGATTTTCTCTGACAAACGCACAAGGCATTAAGTTACCTTTATTAAAACAACAATAGTGTGAGTCTATACACAGTTAAAGGGTGGTCTCTGGTACCATAAACATGGCACTTGTATACTAAATGTCACATAAGTGTGCATGTATGTACATGTAACCAGGACACAATAATTTTTGTTACTATATCGGGTGGTCAAGATTGTTACTGTGAATACCGTAATGGGATCATCTTTGCGTATGTCGCACTGATGATTGCTAAGAAGCATGAATCAACGTTGTATGCAGTTGGTCACGGTTACAGAGACGGAAAGCAAAAAGATTGAGCTCAGCCTGCGTTTATTTATACAACTATTGATGGTAACCTTGAGAATACCTCGGGAATTCACTGCTACGAGAGTATCAAAAACACGTCTGTAATTCTTCTTGCTGCCCCGTGACAATGTCCGTGGAAATTTCAGAATTGAAATTCCTTGGAGTATAAAGTTGAAGCAGATTCCCAAACCCCGATTTGGAATTAAGTCCCTAGCAAAACCACTTCGAAGTTCATTTAATTTTGATTGTTAATTACATCTCCAATTTAATTCAGGAAAGAAAACATCCAATTTCAATATTGTAGTTTTGAGTTAAGTTTCCATTACGACCTTCTTTCGAATGGCTGTTCAAAAGTATCAAGTAATATACAAACTCAATTAAAGGGATTCCTATTAGCTAAATATTCATACTCTATTCGGGTCGGTTCTATATCAAACTTTGTGGAAACGTTAGACTCTCATTTCTATTTGTTTTCATTTTCAAAGTATGCTTTTGGTATGTATGAGATGACCACAGCAGGGTAAGGTATCGGTTTCTATTATTCGAAAACATTAAATTGATTTACAGCACTGGAAATATTTTTCAAACATTCCAAATAATACAAATGATACACTAAGGAGTTTGTTATTTCCAGACTAAGTCTTACTTAAAAGCTAAACTATTTGTTTATGGCTCCACATACCGTACTAAGCTCAGGTAAAATGTAGCCTCGACTACTGCTCACATGTTTAGGGTGCTGTCAGCCCGGCTACCTTGTCCATGCTAGATGCAAACAAATGTTCCGGGTTAGTAGAATCACTGTCTACTGAATTACAATGACGCAGGCAATTTCGAGCTCAATTGTTCCGATATAATTCACAATGCTGATATTCCTTAATCCATAGCAGCACAGACCTAGCTTTTCTAAGCACCAAATGTCAAAAGCTATAAATATGTTTGTATTGAGAATATTTATTTATTGTAAACTTTGTCTGGTGCTTCCAGGAGGACATAGGTTTTCCCAACTGTTACGATAATAAAGGGCGTCTAAACCTGTTCCTCTTGAATACAAATGTTCCGAACACGTTCATAATTTTCCGAAATTGGCGTACACAAGCTTTCTATTATGTTAATAAAAAATCCACCGCCTACAAGCCGCAATTATGCCGTGCATCAAAGATTACTGTCTGGAATTCCATTTTATCGTGAATAAAAGCCTCTAAAAATGAATGTAAATCTTCTATCTATCCATGGGCGGGCCAAAACTTGCTCCACTGGCTCACCTGGTTGCATGCGACCAGTGACATTTCTCATTAGTATAGCATACTTTTATAACAAATTCATTTTTAAAATAAACGCCATCATCATCAAAATCGACCACTGCAGAGAATCCGTACCAGGTGTTTACTGGAAGTGTAAAGACCTCAGTTCGCGTTTAATAGCCCAGTCACCATGGTGCTGAGTAACCAAGAATCACGAAACACCTGCGCAGTTTATTCACTGACAGGTAGACTACATCTACGAACGTATGTCCTAAAAGTTTTGGCAAAAAATATTTATCGGATTAGCCAGATCAAAGTGTGGAACAAGACGAAAATGTGGAGGTAAATAATGAAGGAAATAATAACAACATTACGACTTCAACTTCTGGAACTACCTCGAAAAAAGGAAAGGTATAGCGAGCCTAATTACATCCACTCCATATAAAAAAACTCTGGAAGAATCTATTAAAAAAATAACAAAAAAGCAAATCCCATCGTACCAAAAGCGAAAAAAAAAAACAAGTGAAGAAAAAGGCTTCTAACGAGATGCCTATTTCTAGTAGTTCTAGTTTCTAGTTTCTAGAGTCAGACGTAGAGTTAGATGATGATTCCAGTGATATGGATGAAGATGACACAGAATGCCATTTTTGCTCTGGAAAATATTCTGAGGACACAAGGGGAAGAACCTGGGCCCAATGTGTTGTTTGCTTTCGTTGGGCTCATGAATATTGTGGCGAAACTGAAGGAAAATCCTTCACATGTCCACTTTGTGAAATGAAAGAAGGAAAAAGATAACTAATTTTCGAATAAATAGTTCTTAAGCAGTTTTTGTAGATTACTTGGTATATTTTTAATACTTATTATATTCCATTATGTTGATAATCTTTCAGAGTAGAATAATGTTTTACTTTACAATAAAACTTATGAAATATGAGTTTTTTTATTTGGAACCTAATATAAGACTACGCAGGCAGCAGCGGTGGCCGCAGTAGTAGACTCTTCGGTCTCCTGATCAGTCGCCGTGCGCTGCGCGGGTTCGAGTCCCATCCCAGGAGAAATTTTTCTCTTGGCTATGGATGTTGTGATTGTCCGTAGGTGGTAGACGGTCTCTGACTGTCGAACGCGGAGGTACCACCCGACGGATCTCGTAGGCGGAGCCAGAATGTGTGCACGTTGCATGCACACGTGTTTCCTCGCCAGAGTCCGTGTGGCGTTCCCCCTTTTCCCATGTATCCCCTATAGCCCCACGGTACCCAATGGGTGCTTAGGCCTTAGGCCTTCGTGGTAGTTGGAGTATAAAAAAAAAAGAAAAAACTGAAGCTCATGTATTCTACATCATTATAAAGGGAATTAAAAGACCTTTAAAATAAGGTTCACTCGACCCCCCTTAGTTTACCAGTGACAGGTTTCCAAAATGCTATTTTAAGGGGTGGTTGGGAACTGATTTTGAACATTTTGATCCAAATTAACCCACCTCCTTTAAGCCGTAATATTAATTTTGCGTCACCCTATACTTCTACTGTACAGCGACGATAGAGCCCCATAACGTGTAAAAATGGAGGGCAGAAAACATATCGACTGAAAGCCTGGAAGTGCTAAGGGTCCATTTTTCTTGCAACCTTTGTTCGCCATGATTCATTTTTGGGTCAAAGAAATATATCTGCTGTTGGGCACCAAATAATTCACGTCACGAGTGTTGAAGCGTTTAAAATAATCGCTGGTAACACAATACTTTTTTCTGTGTATAATTAATCGTGTTTTGCCGTATCATATCGTCCTAATAAGGGTAATAAATCACAGCTCTCACTCTTTCCAATTTGTCCCTCCTGCTATCTCAGGAATCCAGTCTGTATATGCAACCACTTACCAAATATTAAGATAAGACAGACTTGGCGATTCAATTATGCTATCAGTGAGAACATATCTTTATCCTATGTTGGCAATTTTTACGTTTTTGCGACACCTTTTATAGCCAAGTGGCGTTGTAACGCGACTTTAGGGTGATTCAAGGCTTGGGGCAGAAACTTTCAATTTAGTACTTGGATGAAACCTGGATAAATCTATCAAATTTCTGTTTCCATGGCAGATGTCCTTATTATTTCTAATATATGCATAGGTATCACTGAAAGCAGCAGCTTCTTAATGATAGAAGGCCTTTCACTTCACCAAATATGCAACACTTTGCAACCATTTACCGCACACAGCTTCCAACCTACAATATTCAACCCCTCTTAAACAGTGTCGGCAAATGAGCAGAAATCTCTGAAACATTGTAATATACGACTATGGTCCAGCGATTGTATTTCCCCCGCCTCTGAAACAATTTTTAACATCTACGACTACCTAAATAATAGAAGTATTAAACTCACAATAATATTCGAGCTCAGGTGTCTGTGTATATCAATGACGACGAACTATTCAGAGAACCATCATGGAGTAACACAAACTAAAGATTAGGCGAAACGAGTGGTACATTTAAGGATCACAAAATTCAGAAAAATATTCACAAAAGCATCGCAGAATGCTATAGTGGTACGTACTGCAAATATCCAAATAGTTGGTGTGTTACCCATTGCACAGTCGGCAATAGCCTCCAACGATTACCAATTTGCCTTTATCTTCTTAATGATAGCAAGAAGAAGAAAGAGACTACACATAAACATAGTCACGTATACTCCACGTGATCGCGCTCCAGAACGCCAAGCACGTTACAGGGCCGTACTAAGATTAAATGATTTGTGGTTTTACGACACGATCAAAAAGTATGCAAAATTATTGCAGACATGCATAGGGTCCAAACGTAAAGCTTGGAATTGATATATATTTCTTATTTTAAATATCATGGCAAAAAAAACAACTGTCTATTGTTGTTTTTAGCAGAAGTGTTTTATCAAGAAATTATACTCGAAATGTGTCGTAAGGCGCATTTTTAAAGCAGGCTTTGAAGAAAACTCTTGAAACATTAAAAAATAATTGCATACGCATATACCTTACCACCGCTTGAACACAGAAGTCAGTGTGCAAACAGTTAACTTAAATATTAGACTAAAAGATGTATAGATAGGTGTGGTTGAAAAAAAGGATTTGAATACATAATAATATCTACTAAATATTATCCCGCACAAACATTTTACCTCTAAAACCGGAAATACATATATTTGAAAATTAAAATCATTCGAGATCTGAGGAGTGGAACTCCCACTGTCATCAAAATTTATGGTTAAAGGGCAATGTGCGTATCAATGATGCCGTCTAATTCCCACATTTCAGGTCCGACCTTTTCTTTTACATGCTGAATATATTTTTCCAAGTTATTCGGTCTTATTCTTTGTATATCATCATGAAATAAATTTTTAAGGTCAGAAAATTTAAAACATTCATTTTCTGCTGCAACATATTTTTTTATGTCTGCCCAAATCGGATTGAGCTCACAACGGTAAGGAGGCAATCGTAGAACAGTTTTACTTTTTGAGTTCTACGAAATTAAACTGACAAATCTAATAAGTACACAGTAATACCAGTATAAATCTGATGCCGACTCTGTACTGCATACATATATATAGCATTAAGGTCGCTCATCCCTTTTTTTCAACTGTGCGATTGGGGCAGCATTATCAATACATATTGTCTAATTATTTTATGGTGAACAAATAGTCGCACAGACATGAGATTTCGTGATTGCATTACAAATGGATAAAGGAAGGTCGCGTATGGTTCATTTGATAGATTACGTTTTTTTTATTTCGCAAAAATATTTTTTTCTTATTGGAGAAAAACAATTTTTCAGATATTGTTAATACTGAACATAGAGAAGTTGTAGAACAAGCCACAACAAAAAAATAAGCTTTCTATTTCAAACGGTCTCAGAGTCGTAGAGGCAATTGGATATTAATCGTAGCAAAACCACGCGTCCCGCTGACCACGCCTCCAGCGAGTGATAAGTGGCTAGATATAAGACAGGTGCCTTGTTCGGCATGCTAATTATTCACCGTGTTGCCACCCGTTCGATTTATTTCTCGAGTGCCGAAGTGTTGTATCTGATCATTGTTATTGTTATAAATTTGTTGCTCAGTTTTGTGATTAAGATGCCTAAGGCCCGTCCTCCACTATCAAAAAGACGTCACATGTCAGGAAAGAGATGTCTACGTCGAAAGAATGCTCTAAAAACAAGGTAAGTATTGCTTTACTATACAGAAACACGTATGTCGTCCATAGGAGATAAACTTTATTTTGGATTGAAGAAAACATTGGAACCCATTGTGACGAAAGCTGATCGGTTGGCATACAATCAAACAACAAATCAAGCTGAAAGGTAAAAAAATCACAACTATTTCATACTTTTTGCTACAAATCAATTCATACTCCTCGATACAGATTTACATTTATTATATCTAATTCATCTATCTGTACATGGCTGTAAATTCATTCTTTCAAGGATGAGTTGATACCAATATATATATATATATATATAGCATACATACATATATATATATATATATAGCAACATCCTCACATACTACTGTAAGTTAAGTCAATTTAAATTCATTTTACACTATTGTTGCTACTGTTATCAATGTAATTGCAGCTCCTGATGATGATGATGGCAAAGTCCATTGGAAGCTAGAGAGAATAAAAAAAGTATAAAGGGTCCTCTTTGCTTAAATTTTTGTCGAAGTACCCAACAAAAGGCGGAAGCTTTAATTTTTCACCTAACTGGTCTAGACGACAATGACCACGTCTCAAGTTATATATACAGGGTGTCCGCAAAGTTGGGGTTTTCCTTTAAACGACGGGTAGATCTTGAGAAAATAAGCGGATTTTCTTAGTAGCATATACACCAATGTCTTAAGGGAACCGAGATATTGGGTTCCGCAAACTGAATCAAACCTGAACCAAACCGAAGCCGGTCCTGTCCTATCCCTCGATCAAGTCCACAGCGCCAGCGTACAGTTACACGACGCGACGTAGAAACTACGATGAAAGTACGGATTTTACGACAGAGCCGCACTTGGAATTTTAATTCAATTGAACAGTGAGTACTTTTTTTATTTTTTTTTCTTGTTCGCTCACGTTTCACCACACATTAATTAGCTTTGTTATATCAAGCGTAGTTGTGCCTGGAAAGGAAAACCCCAACTTTGCGGACACCCTGTATATATACGTATTCAAAACGCTAAGCTAGTATGACATCGCTGACCATCTATCACCCCCATATTTTCCTATGGCTGTGATAGTGCAGCAAGTAAACATTCAGGTCCTTGCGTCCCATACGTAGAATTATCGATCGAGCGGCACACGCCGAACGGCTTAGCAGCGGGGTAGAGGGTGGTACCAAACTATATATTCGTGATCGGTGGTTATTATGGCAAAATATCACACTGGCCGGCAGGGCGACTGGGCCGCTACACTATGAACCGTTGTTGTGGCAACGTTGTGCTCTGAAACTACGATGAGTGTGGATTATGGTCTTTCAGGGGGTAGGTATGAAGGCCGTTAACCGCCAGCCACCGAGCTAGGCTGTATGCACGGTCGTATCGTCTCCCACTCCACCCTCCGGCTTGCCATTGGTTCTGTGTAAGTGCTCGACCTATTCTGCCCAATAAAAGTTATGCTCCCACTCTCTTGGAATATATCTGTGTGCTGATCATGCAATGATCACGCAATGATCACTGTTTTGGTTTAGTCTCTTTCTTCGATACATACATAATAACCAGTAATCCTTTAATAACTGATGGCGTTGCTCAGGAAGTGTAGAGTTAATCTACTTGACGCAATTTTCTTGTGACGGACGACCAGATGAAAAAAAATCCGTAGAGGATTAGGGCGGATGTGCACATGAAAAAATCGTATCGTAGGGATTTGTCTGTAGGTCTCTGATAGTCACTCAAAAGCGCGTGTTCGCCTATGGCACAGAAAATAGATTAAGAAGTATCTCGGCTTAGTAGAACCATGTGACGTTTTTACAAGTGAATTCTCTCGGTTTCCAAGAAAATTAAGGAGACTAGTCTAAAGGAACAAAAGTAGCATCTACTAAATCACCTAAAAGATAAAGTAGTTTGCGCCTCGGGTTAAAGTTAACAGCTAAAACGCAGACCTTAGCGCTCGGCTTTCTTATAGAGAAAGCGAAAACCTTGCATTCATGGGAGACATTTTCCGACTAAATTTTTTGCTATATACAATGTTCGCTTCTACGAAACAGTATGAAACAA